TCCAGTCCGGGTTTTGCAGTCATCCGTGCGGCTCAGTAAAATGGCTGTATGTAGCGGAGCCTCGTGTTGGTTGGGTTTGCTCCCTGCCTCTACCCGGGCTCAGTAACACAACTCCCACAACAATTTCTGTCGGTTTTTTACGCATTGTATGGAGCCTCCATCATATCTCTAACCCATTTACGGAACCGGAACCGGGGGGATGGAAGCCGGATTGGGTCCGGTGTAAGGGGTGGGAATGAATCGGCACAAGGATAAATGGTTATAAACAATTATTTATATTCAATGCTAGCTTTTGATTGTGACTGACTCGCCGAGAGAGGGAGAGAGAGGTGGTGGGGGGTATATCATGGCCGCTCAGGTCGCCAGCGCCGCCACTCTTAACACTAGCCCGCCGTCCGAACTCAAAAAGCCGGATCGAGACCCCAAGGAGGAGTCGGTACCGGGGGAGAAGCAGTCAGACAAAAAGCAGCCGGGCTTGGACAGCGGATCGCCGGGCCGGGGGGAGCTGCAGGACGGGGCCGACGGTGGAAATGCAGGGGGAGGAGGGGAACCTGAGATGAAGAACGGGAATGGGAACCCGCCCAGGGCTAACAATAATAACCAGAATGACTCTGTCGGACCGGAGGGAAACAACCACCCCGGTTTGGTGCATCACCACGGCCCCGCTTTTCCTCCACCTTCGTACGGATACAGTCAGCACTACGGTCGGGCCCCTTTTCATCAACATGGCGGACAACAAAGCCCTGGCATGGCAGCTGCTGCGGGTCCGGTCGTGCAGTCGAGCAACATGATGGACCCGTATCAGCCCAATTCACACGACCATGGCTTTTCAAACCACCAGTTCAACAATTACAACCCTTTCCCGAACAGGACTCCCTATCCCGGCCAAGCGTACGCCATGAACTCCCCTCGCAGTACCCAGGCGCCGACAGCTGGGGGGCAGCCAGCTAACGTGAAGCAGCAGCAGCCGCCAGCGGGAGGACCCACGGCGATGGCTGGATCTTACAATAACCAGAGATATAACATTGGAAACCCTCAGCCTACATCCACACCGACACTCAACAAGCTCCTGACCTCCCCCAGCTCAACGCGGGCATATCCAAACTACCCGTCCGGAGACTACAGCAGCCAGGAGGGAGCTAGTAAGGGACCAGCAGACATGGGCAGCAGCGGGCTGTATGGAGGGAGCAACCCGGGCTGGCAACAAAGGAGCCATCTCCCGTCGCCCATGAGCCCGGGAAGTGCCGGGCAGCCGCTAGTTAGAAACCAGGTAAAGTCACATTATTACAGGAACACGATGTGGGCTTTAGCTCGTCTCCTTCCCTCCTCCCAGCTAACGTAGCAGGCCAGCCATTGTCTCATACTAGTTCGCAAAGACTCTAAAATGGCTGCCTCTTCGTGTGTGTGTGTTTTTTTTCCCTTTTACACCAGACTGTTAAATAGTTACGGCTTTTTAAACGTATCTGTGGGGGTATGTAGGAACACAAGAGTGCCGCTCGGAGAAAGATATAAGTAGTGTAAACGATGTAAGGACGTTCAGGGAGTCAAGAAGGCCCGACTTTGAAAAGGAGGCGAAAATACTCAACGGAGAGCAACGGCTCGTTTTTTCCTCCGCTAGCTCTCTCCTACGTGTATTAAACGTTAAATCCACAGCGTATGTGGGTGTAAACGAGTTTGTGCTTTACGGGTACACGAAGGGCGACGTGTTCTCGGACAGGTTAGTCTGTGGTAGTGGCTCTCAGGGCTCACGTTTGCATTGTTTTCTTGCCCTGATGAGCTGTAATTTTGTGGCTGCGACGGAAGGAATGTGTTGCATGCCGAATCAGTCTCACGGTTGGTTAAAAGCCTTGTGTTGGTTCAGTTTAAATCACTTAAATGTCCCGCACCACGCCGGGAAAAGGTTGTAAATTGTTACACTTTAATCACACGTCGATTAAAATGAGTTTCCCCCCCCCGTGCTGAAAAGCTACCGGGCTTCCCACTGCATGCTGCCTGTGAACAGCCAGCTCAGCCATACATGAGTGAGTGACTGCAGCCTGCAGATTGTAGTTTGCACTGGGATTTGAATTGTGGAGGTAAAATCCTGCTGTCAAAGCCAGGAGATAGTTGGTCTTTGGTTGACATGCTAGCTGAGATCTGATTGGCTCCTCATCCGCTGCTCATGGCCATTTATAATTACATGTGATGCAAGGCAACAGTGGCTGATAAGAGCACACAGCATTAAGTCATCACAGGGTCACCAGAGGTATTACTGCCTCACTCCTCTGCTCCACTTTTCACTTTAAACAAAACATGTAGTGTTGGAGAAACAGGAACGTGTGTGGATTTATGTTTGTCATTTTATAT